CTGTCGCCTCGGCGACTAACAAGCCAGGCTTGTATCCACGCTCTGTGTTGGCTGACACAGCGCTAAGTGGGGCTAAGCCCTGTTTCACTTTATCTCGTAGAGATGTGACAGAACTTAGTTCTACCCCAGTAGGGCGCCCCGCGCCTACTGGGTGTCGACGTTTCCCCGTGCCATACCAGGTTTCTGGTTGAGGCTGGGGTTTCGGCTCATAGGAGTCGGTTGCTGCTTATGCAAGGGACAAGTGGGACGCAAGTGTTTAGTGCTTCCGCACGTGTAACAGCGTCTCACATCCTGTCGTTGCTCTGCAACATGAAGCTCCGCTTCGCCTTCATCTTCAGCATGGCTGAGATCCATCGGTTCTGGCTTACAGTAAGCCGAAGCCCTCGCAGAGGCTGCCCTCGCAAATCTTGGGTTGTACCCATTCCAACCAAGTCTGGCCGACTTGAAGTTGTGCTCAGCATTTTGAGCGACGCTCACAGCTTCCTCGAAGGTAGAGGGATGAACCCGAAAAACCTCGGTTCTGGCCACGCCAGTGCGGAGACCTTCCACGAAGACTGTCACGTAGACAGTCTCAGGGAGAGGGTCAGACTGCATAGCAGCCATTAGAGTTCTCAACTCTTGGACATAGTCCGTTAACTCACTCTTACCCTGACGGGTTGATAAGAAGCGTGATCGCACGCGATATGCCTGGTTAGGCGGCGAGAAAACTCGCATGAGGTCTATCTTGAGCGACTCCCACGTGGGAAATGCCAAATTGACCGACGTGCCACACGTCAGAGCCCACTCTCTAGCTCTACCATCGAGCTTAGAGATGGCCAAAGAGACCCGCTGGTTCTCTAGTGAGATGAGACCAGAGTCCATAGCCATCTTAATCTCACGGATCCAGAGGGTCAAGTTTCCCCCTCCTTCCCGGAGTAAAGTTTAACATCCACCCGAAGGGGACGAGGCTTAGCCTCTTCTGGTGGCATAGCCACGTAGCGTGTCGGCATAGCCGACGCTACTTGGTTTTGAACCTGACCCAACAGGGCCGTTTCATACTGCATAAAGGCCTCGACTCGTGCATTGAGCACATCGGGACCCTGTGCAGCTAGAAACTCCACATACTCTAGGCCTACGGCCGCGGTCAGCTTATCAAGCGCGACCTTTTGAGCCTCAGAGAGGGGTGTGGGTCGCTCCATCCTCGCAGAGGATCAGTCGTTACCGACTCAGGTGTAGATTGACTACAAGTGCTACCAAGTGTAGCGGAGCTACACAGCTCCTTAAGTCAGAGGAAGACTTTACGCTCAATGAGCAACTTTGGTTCAAAGAACCCGACTCAGAGAGTCAACAGCTCAGAGAGCTTAAAGGTGGTTCAGAGAACCCGACTCAGAGAGTCAACAGCTCAAAGAGCTTACGGTCCCTGTTCCAGGGGGACCAAACGATTCAAAGAATCGAACGCACTAAGTGCACAAGGAGTAGCTGCCTTAACAAGGAGTTGCTACTTCCTTACGATCGCAAGACGCCTCAGAGAGGCACGTGTCTTTTGTTGATCAAAATGGGAACTGAATTTTATTTCTTCATTTAACCTAAAAGAACACCTTAGAACAACATATTTAACCTGCCCTAAATAACCTCTTAAAAGATCTTGCAATCAATTGATGACAGACACCAGTCTTCGATATTCTTTTATTTATTTTAATGGGATACCGTCCCGGGTGTCAACAACACAGGGTACCATGTACCCATTATGTGTGACCCCGTTACACCAATTGCATAGGCATGAGATGGACTTGTGGCTGTTTGTTCTAGTTTGGAATACGAAAAGGACTAGAGATTCGATTGTCTTGACAAGGTATGACGGAACGAGCATATTGCTTGCATTATTGATCCTATCATTTGTATCATTATATTGATGAGGATTTGCATTGGCGAACAGATTTACTGCAGTAAAGGGCTCTGTTCGCCGTAAACAGCGTCGGTCTGGCTATGATCCGACCAATCAACAAGGTTTCCCAGTGAGTAGGAAGGAGAAAAATTTACCGACGACATGACGCATAAATGAAGTCGGTCATGATATAGTAGAAAGTAGAAATGTGTTTAATCCAAACATCTAGCGAAGTGGCGGATCACCAGCGATTCAACTAGCTGTACAAAAATGAAGAAGTGAGAGTAGTCAAGAGAACGGAGTTCGTCGAATTCATCTTAAGAAAGCTTGAAATTTTGTTACATGTGGCTGTGTCAGGCAATAGTCTTGTACAACTTTTAAAATCGTGCTTATGCGACTCGGAGAACTCAGTATTTTGCTTGTTCTCGAACACATAGCTGGTCCCTATACAAAAGAAATTATAAAAGTTTCTGCGACCTGGTTGATTGGCCTCGGCTATAAGGCTTTAAACAAGCAATGATATTGCTCAATTTTGGTCATGGTTTTCTATCTATCATTCGAGCAGCTCTCCACACTTGCGCTTGAATCGTCAGCCTGCTGTTTCAGCTGCTATTGTTTGTACGCACGGACTCTTACAAAGTACCCACTACTCCCATGGCCTCACGTCGTATGGCAGACGGCAGTAATAACGCGATACAAGTGGAAGAAGGTCGTGCTGACATGTATGGCTATGAAATAATGCAAAAACGAAAACCGCTTTTGAGCTGAAACAGCGTCGCTTGCCTCTTTGTGTTGCTCTTGTGCTACGAAGAAGCTAGCGGCTAAGAAGCTATCATCAACTGCATTTCGAAAAAGTAAGTAGAGCCGCTAGCCTCTGCTCCTCTCCTTCCCTCATCGAAATGCGACAACACAAAAAATATGTCGTACCCATTCATTCATGACATCATTGCCGATGATGGATGGAAGAAGAAAAGCTAGCGGCGAAAGCAAAACCTTTGTCATAAAATATAGAGACCGGCTTTAAGTTCAGCACAGACACCGTCCAGCATCACTCACATAAAGCAAACACTTTAAAGTGGAAGGCATATATACGGCTTCCACACCTCCACCACTTCCCGACACCCGGTACCGGTCGTATTGCACGACCACTTTCGCTCCCGAATGCTTCAGAGTAGACACGTGAATGAAAGAACATGCGGCCACCATGAAACATACGCAAGGAGAATTATCAACCGGTTATCGTGTGATCACTGTTTGAATTTGGAGACAGGACGGTAATGACACACTTACACTCTCCTTTTCGCTTCATTTTCTCTTTTTCATAATAAGACTCGATACATCGAATATGATCCCTTCTTTTCGATTGTGTCCATGTCTAATAATTCGATAACGATTATACGAAATCTTAAAGACCAAAGAACCATTCGACATCCATAGATATAGCGATAGCTGTTGCACATATTGTATCGTATCGTAGTCGATATGTCGGTAAAATAAAACCAGCACGACCCTGACAGATTTCGATGCTCGAAATAAAGAAGGTATGCTTCGCAGCTCACATGTAATTGGACCTGTCCATAATTTTTAACGACCCATCGCCAGTGGCAGAATGAAGGAGCCAGGTAAAGCAATGTAAGACAAGGAGTGCGGTAATATAAACAAAGTGATTACTATTCCACAGGCTCCGGATGCCACAATTTGTTACTGCAACACTTCATGGTGTCCATTGTGCTATACTGCAGTAAATTATCGACGACGTACTGACAAGCAGGATACGCTCTAACTGGCGTCCTGACTATTTGGCTGGATTTTTCTACTTTGAAACTACTAATCTGATGCTGATAGAAGGTATGGTACATTGTAATACTTTGGGATCCTGTCATGGCTGACCACGTATCGGTTTTATATCGTTCCTGTCATATCCGTACTTACTCGATCTCGTCGTTACGACCGGACATCACTTGCGGAATGATATCGACGCGAAGAATTTACCACTGGTATATGTGTGGTAGGTGCAGACGTGCCACTTTTTCTTGATATGCTACATGCTGACTCTACATTGGGTTTCATAAGCTGTAAATAATCACGCAAGCTACTCTCACTTCATTGTACAGCTCATGTACCAAACGTCCGAGCAAATGAACGGTAACAGAGAATATCGCGAAATAGGCCCATTTATAATGCCTTTTTGCACGCGTCGCGAAGTAACATCTCCATCTATAGTGTCGGTCCGTTTGTCGTCCGCTGTTGGTAACGATACCTTCGAGGTGATCGTCAAAAAATAAAACAACACTGGGCATGGCCTCTCGAGCATCCTCATTGACAGGCGGTTCTTCTTCGGCAAATGGGGACCCTTCTTATTTTAGTAGACAGCGTCGTCCAACTTGTTCACTGCATTGATGGTACGTAGAACTGATTCATGAGCTCGTAAAGCAGAGCTATTCTACATTCAGCACATAATTCCATCGTGCCTCGGTTGGCATTCTACGAGGCAGCTGCAATAGTACATGTATCTATGCAGCTATTATAAAGGACTTGAGCAATACGAATAACGTGTTCTGAAATGATTTTTTAGTAGAAGGGCGAAGCCGTATTGTGATTCACTTGCATCGTTTGCGCCTTTAGCACCCCAGGAAGCCTATTCGAACGTGTGTATGGTCCATCATCTGACATTACAGTGTTTCGTAATCTGCTGAAATGGGCGATGTCTGAGCACGATTAGCAAGTCTGAGCTGTTGAAGATGGCAAGACCCTTTGTCTTGCTCCTCTTCAAATCATCGACAGACTTCTATAATATGATCATCAATGGCATGTCCGCGAACGTGTCTTAGTTTGGAAGAGGGGCCTCATTGTTAAGCTCAACATTAAATATAGAGCACCAGTATCTTAACAATCTCGACTTTACTTTCATCGTTTCCACTTGTCCCTCAATTTTAAGCTAATTCGTCTCATCGTCCCCATTTCCAACACACTTACGCAACCAGTCAATCTAGCAAACGCATCTGTCTTAATATGCTATAGCGACTGTCGGATGCATACAATTGCAAGCAATTAATATCACTGGCTGAAAACTAAAACTTTTGGTCGACCAATCAAGCAACTGAGACCAATTAAGTGAAGCTGCCCTCCTGTTGACATGGCGACAGTGCCGTCCCCTGCTGCCGCTCACAAAGAGCCTCGCTTACCATACGTCATATATGAGGGCGACACGGTGATATGCCAGACCAGTGACGGCCGCATGTTCTTCCAGGCCGTCGCGAAGGACGAGTACGGTGGCTTTCGTGATATTGTCTGTTGTCAGGACCAGAATGTCTCATGCTACTGTGACCAATTATCGGGTTTTGTATCAGATCCATTCGGGTCGGCAAAAAAGTGTCAAGCTTGAAGCCTGTGATTGGCTCCTTTTATGGGTAAGAACATTTAATGAGAACACGTGAGGCAGCTAATTGTACTGACATGTGAAAATTGTGTTCGTTTCTTCTTCCAAACTCTATAACGACACGTCTAGAGCAACATTTGAAGAACGAAACAAGACATTGGTCCAGGTGACGGGTGGTCTATTCCCGGATCCAGTTGCTCCCGGTAAGCCATGTATACGAATTCTGATCTTTGTTGTCACTTAGTTTGATGCATTCGTTTTTATTGGACTAGAAACAGGAGAAGGTTTCGTACCTGACGGGGACAACCGACACTATGCTGACACAAACTCAGCCCAGACACTGAGGCAGACCGACATTGGTGAGCTGCGCGAAAAAGGCGTCTCTGGGGAGGAGATTATACTAAAGTTGGTAGAAAACAGTTCCACATGGGAGAACAAGACCGAGTTTTCTAAGCAGAAGTACCTCAAGAAAAAGCAGCAGAAGTACATGCCGCGTGTGCGATTCTTACGCTGCACAGCTGAGTCGCTGTGTCGCACATATCGGCTGAAAAACCCAGCCAAAATCTGCAATTTGCGCGAGGACTCATTGGGGCAGATATTAGTATACGGCAATATTTTCGCGGGTGCTCAGGTACTCGTGGTTGACACCTGCATGGGATTGGTGACGGGTGCAATTGCCGAACGCCAGGGAGGCTCCGGACGCATTATCTGCCCATACGAGGGCCAGCAGCCTGCTGCTGATATCTTGCGTCGCTTCAATTTCGGTACAAATTTGTACAACGCTTGGTTGTGTGCGTAACGATACACTGGTTGTTCTTAGTCGTATAATTTTTTGTCTGTGTGTAGACAAGCTTACGCTGGAGTCTGTTCACTACATACCATTTAAGCAAGTGCAATTGCTAGGAATGGTACGGCTCGCTCGACTCAGATGCTAAAATAAAAATGATGTGACAACTAACGACGGCGTCACTTCGTTGAAGAGCGAAGAAGATGTGCTGGAGCCTACGAAAATTGCAAGGGACGGTTTGTCACCGGAAGAGCGGGAACGACTTTCAGCGGAACGGGCAAAAAACTTCACGGCTGAGCAGCAAAAGCGCTACGCTGACAAAAAAGCTCGCCGCGAAGAGACCAAGATTTGTCGACAAAAGCCGTCGACAATTCGTCAGTGGGCCCGTGAAAAGTCCGACAGTCTGGTGATTGCGGCAGATTACGACCCCGAGGCGATCCTAATGGCTCTGCTACCGTACTTGGGTCGGTCCAAGCCGTTTGTCGTCTACTCTGAATTTCTTGAGGTAAGCGCTTGGATGTTTCATGGCTACTGCTCGCAAAGTAAGCGTTGTATTCACCATTCTTTACACTCCAGCCGTTGACCCGGACATTTGCTCGGCTTCAAAATATGGAATCCATCATCGACCTTCAACTTAATGAGACTTGGACACGCGAGAACCAGGTGCTGCCTGGCCGAACCCACCCGGAGATGAGTATGAGTGCATGCAGCGGTTATTTACTCTGGGGGATCAAGATTCTCGACATTTCACCTGTCGGTGTCACTTCTAGTGCCATTGCGAATGAAGAAGAAGAAAGCTTGACGTGCGGGTCTTTTTCAGCCTTGAAGAAGCTCAAGGCGTAGGTAGACCAGGATGTGCATGTGCTCGGCTCAATTGACAGGAGATTGGCGAATAGAGATTGGTTATGGTGACACGCATCGATGCAGTGAATGTACGGATCCATGTAAGCAGTCGTGAAACCCTTAGATTTGGCAATTTGCATGGCACTTTTTTAGTGAGTAGTGGGTTATACGTTTGTGTGTGCGGTTATATTTGCCCCTAGATGCAAAGTAAAAAAACGTCCACAGTAGCGCGATTTATAGTGATGGACCGATCATCTTTGCGGGAGACAGACGGTCTAATAAAGGGGCTACTTTGGTGGACAATGGATTGATATTTACATAGGAAACGCACAATGTAATTGAAGTTTGTAAAAACAATAAGACTTCAATAAACCTCTCAATATTTTTATGATGTGTTCTGGTGAGAATTTCACAGCGTATTTTACCAAAGAGATCCCGACTTACAGAAGCAAGAACTTCTCAAAAGTCATCAAATTCAGGTAATTAATATTTGTCGAGTTAATTTGAGCTTGACCTAGCGGTCAATATATCTACTCCCTCCGTATCATCATGTTTGTTCTTTTAAACAAAAAACCGAAAAAATAGGTAATTTTTAGAGTCTGATTGGCTAATACACCTCAAAATAAAATATATTTTAAGCTCTTTTAGTCAGTGTTGTCCGTGTATTCATCTAGTAACTGGAAGCCGAGAAATCAGCACCTCAAAACCCATCACTTTAAAGGGTTTTGCACAGACGCTTATTGCGGAGCCTGCAGGCCACCATTGTCACGCTTGGCAATTCTTACAAAAAATTAGAAAAAGTGAAATCCTTTAAGTATGCTCGGAAAGCTAAATCGCCTTTGAGAAATAGCAATAGACGCCTAAACGAGACGCATCTTGACGCCACTTTTACGCAAATTTGCCTTGACAAATTTGGCTCCCTTTGCAATTGATTTTAATTGCATGTACCGTTTTAACCAGTAAACATCATTGCCGGCTTGCTAGTAGTGCTGTCATTGTCGAAGATGAGCACCAAACCCAAACGACGACCGAAGAACCTCACAGTCCTCGAACGCACTAGTATAATGTGTCACTCCTTCAGTCCGCTGGTGCGACTATGAAGGTAAGTCGTACTGATTTTGAGCCAGTGGCGCTAACATATGCGCGTTCTGTGAAGTCAATACCGAGGATGTAGAAGCGCGATTGCGACACCATGGCCCGCTCATCGGAACCTAAGTAAGTTAAATCCAAAATTAAGGTTAAGAATGGCAAAGAAAAGATTGATACGCATGCAGTTGACAAGAAAGTGGAAGCTGCGACGTATCGTGAGCGATATACACTGCGATCCTTGACGCATAGAACGGGAGTTTCGGCCTCTGCGCTTTTACGATGCGCCAGCGCAATGACATTATGTCGATGACTGACGCTAGCATACCCCTGCTGGCGGAGGAAAACAAGCGTGCGCGAATTGCTTTCACCGTTCTTTTCGTCGACGAGTCGACACTGCTCTAATCCCCTATGCACGACGTAATTCATCTCAATGAGAAATAGTTTTATATTACACGAGGTTCCCAGCGGATTTACCTGTCTCCTAACGAGCCGGCGCTACTCCGGTATGTACGTTGTCTATGTAATATTGCAAACGAGTGTACAGTGCTGATACGAGTGAAATTATGTGTAATGTTTTTAGACTATGCAAAAGCAAGCGGTTTATCGGTAAGGTGATATTTTAGCAGCAGTCGCCAGGCAGAGAAAGGACAGCCTGTGGTAATTGGTTTGACGGAAATTTAAGCACCTGGCCTTTGTGGAACGGACGGTCGCGCAGCGGACCATCAAGAATCGCCTAGTTGGAATTTTTAAACTCAAGCTGGTATCTGCCGTGAGGAGAGCGCAGTACGTCGAAATGTTGCTGGAACACTTCGTCCCTGCGATCGCCGCCAAGTTTACGCGTCGCATCCAATGAAGAGCTATATACTTACGACAGGACAACGCGCGACCTTATGTAAAGGAAGATGACCCGCCCGTGATGAGGCTTGCAGCCAGTTTCACCTTGACCTTAGCATATTGTGCCAGCCTCCTGAGAGCCGGACTTAAACGTGCTGGACTTAGGCTATTTTCGATCCATCCAGACATTACAGCACGAAGTGAAGCCTCGTAGCTACGAAGAATTATTATAAGCAGATCAAAAGTCATTTATGGATCTATAAGTAGAAAAATTAACAAAAGAGTTTTTTCGCTGCAGTCTTGTATGACTGCAGCACTAAAAGACGGTGGTGGCAATGCCTATGCACTACCACATTTGAAGGAGGCCACTCTTCGTCGACATTGAGATTTTCCCCGGTTGCTTAGTTGCCCTTGAGCTTGTACGACATGACGCGTTCCCTCCCTTCCTATCAAAGTAACACGTGTCAATGTTATTTTCCCTTTACTGAATAACCTTGACAAAGCGAACAACCATTTTAGAACAAAAAAACGATTGATTTGGGAAAAAGACTCTGAAACGGAGGAATACTCAATGACATAATTGCAATTAATTCGGTATGCTAAAACTAGTTGTATTGTTGGTGCGCTACCCTTGTACTATCCAAAACATCATTGAAACTATAAACAACGAGTTGCTCGTCACCAACACCTTCATTGATATTGAGTCAAAAAATAGTAGTGCAAGATTAACATAACATATTGAATTTAGCATCTGGTAGTAAATTCCGCCTAGCCTTCTTTAAGACTGTCGCCGTCACATTGTTTTGCTAAAATGCCAATGAAACATGTTATCATAGAGAATGCTACTATATGTAGCTCGTTAATCCCTAAATTTGATGTGTGCATACTCTCTGTGCTGAGGTGTTCTAGCGATTTCTCTCTACGGATGGTGATAGGGTCGAGTTGCCTGCCAATAAGTTCTTTAAGAATATGGTCTTATCACGTCCGTTCACTAAATATCTGGTTGTACAGCGCATTTAGTTTTCGCCTAAAAAGCGGGCTATTTATAGTAACAATAAAGTTGCGGTGTTAGCGCATGATCAAATTATGTTTATCTATTCTAGGACCGAAAAGTTCAACAAGTGTCTTCGCCATCTTCTGTATTTAGCATATCTGACGGTTACTTGCGTAAACCGTTTTTAATCTTTACCAGACCCCATGATTGTGTTCAAACATTCTATTTGCACGGCGATAAATATGCGCTTTAAGCTCTGCAGTTTGTAATCGATAACTTAGCGCCGGTAGAACCGGGGTCTAATCGTGGCTGGTTACTATTAAGAGACATTCCACGTCGAAGACCGACAAAACGTGCGGTCGGCCGAACCGTGTAACATAAAAGACATCATAAACTTCGTCATTTACATCTTTGTTTAATTCGCCTTTTGGAGATAATCTGTCGCCCACAGGCGGAAATTAAATGTTTCGTTTCGACAGGCGGTGTTCATGTCAGCAAGATGACAATTTTTAATTCTCAACTAAATATATCATTTTCCGGCAATAAGCACACATCGAGGACGACTCATACATGCCAAACAGGTATTGTATGGTAGCAGTTGATCGTTAAGCACTTGAGATGATCGCGATGAAACTCGCTTGTTCCCAAACGTCATCTAGAACAGATCCGTTCGGCAATAGGTATCGACGGTCCTAGCAATAGTAGCGATAGGCTACGTTCTAGCTCGGCCTTCCTCTTGCAAGCTTCAAAATACTCCATAAAACAGGGCAATATATATTTCAAACGTCCAACTTATAGAGGTTGTACCATATTCGAAATTTATTAAAATACTTGACGGGGTAAATCTAGGTGCCGGGTTTCTATATAAAACATTACGCTGCTCTACAGGATGTGTTACGTAGCTCATTAATTTATAATTTTTTAAAAATGTTTTAGTAAAACGCGGTGGTGTACTCCTGACATCTTTGTGCAATAAAGCTCTACCATCGTATCGTATACGGTATAAGATCCTTCAACCATAAAATTTGTTGTATATGTGGGTAGCAGTTGGTCAGATCTGTGTCAACACAGTCTCAATGTAACAACATAGCAATCGCCGAGTCGACGTAGTTGGGATTGTACGTCGGGTAAATACCCTTCGAGGTTTCCCCTTCAGGTTAAGATGTGGCTCTCGCCTATCTAAGTACCTCCAACCACTCACACTCCTTTCCAGAAGACTGCCCAAGCTCATCCGCTTCCGTTCCTCTAGTCCTGTGACATCGTACCAATGTAAAGCCGTCGACATTTAATGCTTTTCAGGCCACCGGGCGTGATATACGCCCGACTAGAAGCCTTACGATGTCCTTGCTTCAAGGCCCATCTGCTCGCCGTGCGACGAAACTTAAACCGGTGGCTTCTACTGGGGCACCGCTCGACGTGGGACGAGTCTTGTCATTCGCTGGAAGCGAGTAATGCCCACGCCAAGCTGACTTAACTCTTGACGTTTCCAATCCAGACCTCTACAAGCTATGCTCATCGAGGCTCGACAGCAGGCATAATCCAGCCTACGCCGGGACTTACCTCAAAAGTGTACCTGTTTCTTGTACTTGGAAAATTCTGTTCTGTATTGATTATCTCTTATTCCATTCTGATTAGAAAAGTGCCCTTAAGTGGATCTCATTCCTCCTCCTCCCCGTCCTGTACTAATACCTAGTGGGATAGACCAGCTATCATCTCGCTCTCTCGTCGAGTCTCGTCTCGTCGCGTCTTAGCTAGTCGAGCCCTAGGTGAAGAGCCTTGATTTGCCGACTTCGATATGATCCGGCTTCTCTCGTCGGGTTCGCCTCTCCTATAGTCAAGTCGAAAGTGGGAAATTCCACGTTCGGTAATACGTACACAACAAATTCTCGGCCGCGATACGAACCTTACTGGCGAGTTTCTCGACCAGTATTTATTTGTCTCGCCACGAATCGTTTTGCTTGAGATTGCCTCCCCTCTTTCGCCGACCCATGGTACGCAGTGAATTGTCGTGCTTGCCATTTTGTCTGTAGCAAGGTTGACGTCCTTGCCTTCTACGTTGTACCGTGCCGTTCAGGCTCAGTGA